AAATCTACTATCAATCCAAGAAAGTGGGTTTTTAAGTAGCCATCTGCAGTTTTATGTATATTTTGGTCTGGTAAGTAATGAAAATGCAGGTTTTGACTATAATCTGCTCGAAATCAACAGCGAAAACCAACTATTTGTCCCAGAAAAGGGGGTTTTAAGTAAATAATTGCTTCTCTAAGGTAGATTTCGGTACAATAAGACCCGAAAAAGCCGATTTTGACTAGGATCTGTTTGAAATGAGGAAGAAAAACCTACCATCGATCCAAGAAAGTGGGTTTTTAAGTAGTCATCTGCAGTTTTAATGTAGATTTCGGCCAGGTAGGTGATAAAAATGCCTGTTTTGGCTATAATCTGCTGTAAATCAAGCGCGAAAACCAATTACTTGTCCCAAAAGGAGGGCTTTTCAGTATATATCTGCATTTATTAGTTAGATTTCGTTGCAATAAGAGGCGAAAAAGCAGATTCTGACAGGGATCTTATCGAAATTGGCAACTATTTGACTCAGAAAGACGGTTTTCCACCGATATCTAATGGTTTATAAATATAAAGGTTTTCGTTACTAATATTATCCGGTATTGGCAAATAACATTTAACTTCATAAAAATCAATCGAGGTGGAACAAATATATCCGTGTCACACATACTCTCCGTGTATTGGGCGAGCACTTAGAAATGCCGGGTGAGTCGCGCCGCCCCCAACAAATTTTTAGCGTCAGACGCCGTAGCGGTGTAAAACGCGCCGGCGGTCCGGCAAGCAAGCGTACCAACCTTCAAAAACAGCTCTCGCTTTCGAGCACCCCCACTTTAACGCGAGAGCCACCTGCCGCCCCGGCGTGTTCAAGCCTTTGTCTGGCTTTCGAATGCGGGCGGCCCCGGGGGCGCGACGCCATCTGCATGTACAGGGTGCGTCGCACCGGCGGCGCTCCGAAATCGTTCACGCGTGTCGCCGAATTTCAAGGTCGCTTTTTTTTTCTACGCTGCCCTCCGGACGTCCTCTTATCGCGGGCAAACAGCGCGGCCGCCATTGTTTCGCCTCCAAAACAAACAAAAGACGCTCGTTACGCGCGCGACACCGCAGAAAGAGATAAATTTTTCGAAAATTTTGAGTAATTTGAGAGCGAACATTTTTCATGTATTAATAAAAAGATTGCTTTCGAAAAACCATCGTAGCACGTAGCACGGAGCAGCTTGGTAATAAAAAAAAAACCGCTTCGTGTTTTCTCCAACAAAATCGATGTAATTTTTTTTGTGGACGCACCCTGTATAAAATGTCTTTCACATGTCGTCCAATTCCAAAAATACAGCAAACTTTGCACGGGTAACTGCGATTTAAAATTACATTTTTTCAAATATCTCGCGCACCCTGTATGATACATGAAACTTAAAACTCTCTCCGCACAATTTATGAACCGCAATTTTCAAGATCTTTTCGATTTCTTGGCCCCAAATCGACACACCCTGTACATAATTGAAAATTTCATTCTTAGAGCTTACCCGGGTCTTTCCTTAATTCGTATCAGTCACTTTCTTATATCTATGAACAGACTTTAATGATACTGCTGCCTGAGACCTCGACGTTGCATTTACGGGGACACCCGGTATGCTTCGAAATAAAGACAATTTGTTATTATTGTTGAGTTAAATTCATATTTATAACTACGGTAACCAAGGTTTATTGAGAAAAACATAATTTTGTAATGGTGATCGCTTCCCGTTTTCCCGCCAAACCGACAACTTGGCGAGGAACATCGAATCTCCATTTGTTACGCCAAAATGAATCATCAAAACGCGAATAAACACGGTCTAGACGGTGCGAGACGACAAAAAAAACATTTTTTTTCCGCGCCGACCGAAATTTTCCTCTTCAATTAAATGCCCATTACGAAACGGTCCGATTAACGCGCACCCGCGTTTTACGTAACGGCGGCGGCGACGGTGTGGGAGGAAACGATCTTTGTTTTAACCGACCGAACGGAGATCGGTATCGCTTTCAAGGCCCCCTTCGTCACATTCTAATATTAAATTTCAATGGGATATCCGATGAACGAATCCGCAACATTGTTGTTTACCCGTTGCGGACGACGTTGCCGCGTCGCCACGTTCCGACCGGACAACACCACCCTATTCTACCAGAAAAATAGTGCTTTTACAACCGACCAGTGAGTTGCCTACTGTTTACTGCCGAGCAGACCCTTACCCGTAACTTCAAAAAAACGGATTTTCTCCTACACGATTCGACGTGCGAAGCATGGCTTTTAAATTGGCCGAACAGCTGGGAAGGAATCGAGACTAGCTGGTTTTCCGTGACTTAAGTTATTTGTTCAGATATATCCAGAGCTGTCAGTGAGAAAAGCAGAAGGGGTGTCCATTAATCGATCCTTGGGTATGAACAAAAAAGACGTACAGGTTTATTTCCAGCTGTTAGAAAATACTCTCACCGAAAACAATCTTATGGGAAAACCTGGACATATTTTTAATATGGACGAGACTCGTCTGCAGCTAAATAATAGGCCGGGGCATGTCATAGTTAAAAAAGGATCTAAAAATATCGCAAGTATCAGCTCCGGTGAGAAAGGAGAAACTATCACAGTTATAGCTTGCTGTAGCGCGGAAGGTGTTTTTTTCCCCCTACCTGCGTTGTGAAAGGTAAAAATAAAAAGCAACAGTTCGAAGATGGAATGCCACCTGGATCCTTGGTTTACATGTCGGAGAAGTCGGCCTACGTTAATAGTGACATATTTTTTAAATGGGTTAAAGATCAATTTGTTCCCACAAAGCAGCCAGGGACAGTTTTGTTGTTGCTGGATGGTCATGCTTCACATTGCAGTAACGTGGAGATGCTAGAATACTGTGTTGAACAGGACATCATATTATGCGACTGTAAATAATGTAACTTCAGCATTTAAGGCTAGTGGAATTGTGCCTTTTAATCCCAGATGAAGCCTATTTGACTGAAAATAAGATCGTAGTTGATGCTATCCCTGATCCAGTACAAAATGAACAAAATCTTGATGGTGGTTCTCAAAGTTATCCTGAAGGTTTAGCTGATGATAATCAACAGCCTTGCTGCGGTTGGCAGACTGTAGATGCACCTGTACCAGAAAATCAAAAAAACGTCCTGCAAGAACCAATAAAACTACTCCTGCGAAGCGTACTCCTGGAAAATTACCGGATATCATCTCGCCTGTTCCAGTTGTTTCTGATGAAGTTAATTCTGTTCGACGAAGGGGCAAACAGCTGGCAGAAATTTTAACTTCAGAAGCAACAATTTCCGAGAAAAAGAAAAAAACTGATAAGACAACACAGAAAGGAAAAAACATTAGTAAAACAGAACCAGTTATTAAGAAATCAAAAATTACTAAAATGAAAACTAAGAAAGTTACGCAAAGCTCCTTATCTTCAGACGACGATTTAGAAGCACCGATATTCGATGATTCTTCAGATGATGTCGATGACGCTGACGAGGCTTGCGCTGGTTGTAGAGAGGAGTATTCCCAAACCACAAAATCTGACGACTCTGTTCAATTCTTACGTTGCTCCAAGTGGTTTCATGATTCCTGCTCCGAGTTTGTTAACTTTTGCGATGAATGTGGTTTTCTGATGTGCAAAACAAAGTGAAATTTTGGCCGAAAACCTTTTTTTTTGTTGCGCCATCTCACCTCAGCACTGTGTTTTTGTAAAGTATTTTTATTTTTTTCAAGAATTGAAACGTTTATTTTTCTCTTGATTTTATATGCAGTTATAATTTCATTCGCAAATTTTCAAACTTACCGGTAAGATAAATAGGGTACAGCTACTTTACCCTAACCCTTTGACCTATGCAGTGAAAATGCCCGAGAATCAGGTCTACGGTACTGTAAAAGACTTAAAACGTCTAAGCAATAAATGCACTATATTTTTGGTCGTATTATATCATATTATGCATTCGTTCATCTAGAGAACTGCTGAAGTACGGATGACGACACTGCCTAAACATTCGAAACTTCGATGCAAGTCCCGGATTCTTTAGTGAACGATATCCTTCACCTTTACCACACAATGTATTCATTCGTTTAGGGAACAACTAAAGTACAAATGATGAAGCTACGGAAACATCCGAAACCTCGACGAAGGAGTTGGACAATTTAGTCGACGATACCCTTCATTTCCACTACATGGGGTGTTCATTCGATGGACATCTACTTCATTTATACTACATACACTTGTGAGGACAACATTTATACTACATAGAGTATTCGTACGTTTGGGGAACTACCGAAACGTCTGAAACCTCGAAGAAAGTTGGATGGATACTTCAATGGATGAAAGTTTGGCAAATTATTGGAGTACAAATGATGAAGCTACCGAAACCTCCGAAACTTTGACGAAAGAATTGGATACTTTACTACCACATACCGTGTTCATTTATACAATACTGTCTTGAACCACTCACAGACCACGTCCACCAACCAATAAGCTGAACTGAATTAGCTAGGAATTTGAGCCGATATACCAATCTAAAATGGTATAAAGGTATAGCCTCGAACTGTAGTTAATAGTATATGTGGTTGCAAGTTCCTGGTGTTCTGTTATTTCACTTTTTATTTTCTCGTCGAACCTTGACGCCAGTTACCATTCGGCAAACTGCTGGCAGAGCTGTAATGCTTTTAACGTTCTTTATAGTTCTCATTATACATTGTTCCCATAAGCGTAACACCAGTGAAAAGTGCAAAACTTGAATGTAATGAAGAGCTAACGCGTGTCGTAAATCCCCATATGTTACTTGCGGAGGAGGAGCATCTCTTCTCTTATGCCAAGACATTAAAGCTCTTATAGAATATATTCATCATTGATTAGGAAGGGAAAACCTTCGCTAGCGACTCGTGTAATACCATCATCTAATATTTCGCCAGTCAATAATCTAGAGTGGTGGGCGGTCCTTCGTCGGATTCCGCCAACCGCGACCCAAGTAAACGCCGGTTCGTTGTAGACTTATGGATGGGCGTTTTTTTTCTGTTGCAGATGCTGTCGGTGGTGAGTGCCGGTGCCGCGGCTGGTATGGGCGGCATGGACCGGCTCCGTGGCGGACGAGCAGCTAGAGAATTGGCCGTGACGAGGGACAGACAGGTCAGACTACACGCGGTCCACACGGACCTAGCGATCAATCTACCGCCCAGCATAGCGCTGCCCGACGGCGAGGAACACCACCATCACCATTCGTACGCGGCAGCGTCCAGACTACAGCTTAGAGATTCCGAACAGGTATATATCGCTACCAGTTCGCGCCCTACGAAAGGATCGACCATGCGGAGCACAGAACCATAATTTGGTCACAATTTTTTCTTCTTCGTCTTTGGAAATCACATTGATTCAACCTCTGGACCTCTTTTTCCTTTTATGTTGTATAATTAGTTCGATATGATAATTTCTAGTTCAATAATAAACGCTAATGATATCTCTCAGCCATCGGAAAGGTCCAAGTCTAATATGGGTAGTAGTATCTGTTGCCGACTACGAGGGACACGCGCTACGGGACCACTTCAAAATTTCTTCTTCTCAAAGTGGCCTGTGGATATTGCCAATCACGATGATCCACCTTATCTTACTGACAGGGAAACGAAACAGGCTACCTGAGGTTCTTCATCGAGGATATACGGAGTCGTCTTTGACCTCTTTTTCCTTCTATTTTGCAGTGTATAATTAGTTGGACATGATAATTCCAAGTTCAATAATAAACGCTAATGATATCTCTCAGCCATTGGAGAGATCCAAGTCCAACATGAGTAGTAGTAGTAGTATATAGCCGACACGTCCAAAATTTCTTCGTCTAAATGTGGCCTGTGGATTAATATCATATCACTGTCGGAGGTTCTTCATCCAGGATATGCGGCGTCGTCTTGGACCTCTTTTGCATATATTTTGCCCTTAGCCTTTGGAGAAGTCCAAGTATAAGAGGGTCACTAAAAATAATACTCCGAAATCAAATATATGGGTGGTTGTATCTGATATAGAAAGCTAGGACACGCCCTAGTGAGGCGGACCGCGCGGGGCGTGACCGCTTACGGTGGGCGGGGCTAAATATATCGCGGCTCAATGGATAGATAGATAAAACGTAAAATACAGTAACACGTTCGATGTCTTTTTGTCATTCCGCGAGTACGGCGGACGAAAATAAGAAAGCGCGCGCGCTGGCCCCGCCTTAAAATAGAACTCGGCGCGGGAGACGCGGCTATAGTCGCGTCTCTCTCCGCGTGCCGCGAGAGGAAATTTATAGCCCGGGCAACATTGTCGCCCCGAGAACAAAGTAAGCGATTTTTCGAAACGGAAAGATTCCGGACCGTCTATATACCGGGGCGGTTCGCGAAGTTTTACGACGTTGCCGTTACAGTGCGTCACGTTTTCGTGATCCAAGGCTGTTGAGGTGTTGATATTTTATTAAAAATATATAAATACAGGCTGATCAAAATTTATCGTTTTTAGGATTTCAAAACGCTTATTAATGATTTTATTACAAAAAAATGATCCTACATCTAAACATTTTTTTTTTGTCAAAAGAACATGTAACGCAGAAAATAGTAATAGGCGCTTTTCTCGATATTGATCATTGTGTTTTGAAAATCCTTGTCTTTGCATAACGTTCTTAACTGCGGCCCAAGAAAAATATCTTTATCTTGGCATCAGACACGGCTGGAAATTTCTCGCCCAAATATTTGAAACACTGCCCATTTTTGTTTAGGGCTTTAACATACTGCTTCATCACGCCAAGTTTGATATGAAGACGTGCAGTAAAAGTTTTTTGGAGTCAACTAGTTATCCTATGAGCACTTTAAGTTCGCTCTACTTAAAAACTGCAGGCTCTCTGAAATCTGAGTCATCTGGGTCGGAATTTCGATTCCTCTGATTCTGACGATATGACGTTTTCTAATTCTTTTGGGCGGTAGGTATCGGTACATCTGGTCTTTGAGCAACTGGTCGAATAACAGAGTCAAGATTGGCATACATAATTTGTTTCTTTTTCAAAAATAGCAATCGTCACTGTGATTCATATGCTACCATGGGAACACCAAACAGTATGAGGACCCAATTTTATTATTTTAATCAATAACCAATATATATTATTTTTATTGGTGCATTTAGCATTTACTTACGTTAATAGAAGAAATTTGAAAACCAACAGATGCCAGAAGATCTGGTGCATCTATCAAGTTATTAAGATGTCCAAAGGTGTCAGATACAAAAGCTTCATAATCTCCTGGTAGTTTATTTCCTCAAATGACATTCCCAATTTAAAACCCCCTCTAAGGAACTTACGCTGCACACGCTCTATTTTTTCCTTGTGAATTGCATGGTATTGCACCACAAAGAACCTATCAAGATCCTCCTGTCAGTCAAGAGGTGATGCTATGCAAATGCAAGAAATTGGCAAAAACATTTTTTGGGTCATTAATGAAAACATTGAAAAGGAATGTAGGAAGATGTCCCCCTTGTGGGACACCAGACGTCACAACAGTCTCTAACGAAATGTAATTTTTTACTTTACTGCGAAAACAATTTAAAAAGTCTCCAAAGATTCCAATCACTGAGAGCTTTCCTACTTACCCTGTCGAAGGCCTTGGAGAAGTCAGTATATATAGCATCTACCTAATATCCATTCTTAAAGGCCCCCAACAGCTAACGTTTTTAAAATGAGGGGTGACATAATCGGAAACTATACCCTCAAATATTTTTGAAAACAAGTAGATTTTAGAGATTGAGCGATAGTTTTGTATGTTAGCCCTGTCACCATCTTGGAAAATACATAATAATACAAGATTTTTTTTACAATATGAAGGAAAAACGCCGCAGCTTAGTGAGAATTTAAAAATATGCGCTGTTGCAAAATCCCATCATTTAAAAATTATGCCTGACGTGAAACAAACATATTTATGGCGTTTTTTGGAAAAAGGGTCCCCAAAAATTAACAAATGAACAAAGAGCTTCCTAATATCAAAATCACTGTATGTTACGAACGATTCGTGTGGTCTTGTAAGTTGTAGTAAGCTTTACGTTATTTCCAGGAGTCGGAAATCTACCAGAAGTGCATACGACCGCCCCCGAACCGGACCGTGCTCGAGAGCGAATCGCCGCCACCCTACCGGTCCAGTTCGGCCAGCGTATTAGCCTCGTCGTCGTCTTCGTCGTCGGGGGGCAGCGATTGGTCGTCGGGAACCGCCCCCCTCGTCGTCCGTTGCCACTCAATGTCGTCGACCTCGTCGTCGATGATGTCGAAAACGATGGGCTCGACGATATCCAACCACCACCACCACGCCGCGCAGGGCGGCGTTCCAAAGACTGATTTTTTACAAAGAACTGTTAAAATATTCACCGGGAAGAAGACGCCGACGCAGACGGCGACGACGACGACGACGACGACGACGCCGCCGCCCGTCGTCATAGTGCCGACGACGGCGTCGAGACAGAAGAGGGAGGCGAGGCAACCGCCGCCGGTGTGACAACCGCCCCAATTTTAGATGACAAATTTTTTCCGTGAAAATTTAGTTGATTCCATTTGACGCGCGACGAGGGGGCGGGGAAGTCGTCCGCCGCGCCTCGCCCGCCCCCCCTCACCCGCAGCCGTCGCCCTCGACATTAAAACAATTAATTAACTAGGTACAGGTCTAGAACGTAATAAAGATTATTTATATATATATATATACACACACATTATGTATATCAGTGAATAATGGACGCTACTGTATGTGGTTCAGTGTGTAAAAGAAAAAAAAAACAAAAGAAAAACGCATACTTGGATTGAGGGACTTGGGCATGTTCCTATATTTACGACGATGTGTACTGTGTACATTTTACAGCGGACTTGGGGGCGGGTATTGGGATGGGAGGGAGGGGAGCAAACACGCACCGGACGTGGAAGTCTTAGTTTTTTTTTTAAATAAATTAATTGATAATTATAATATTATTGCTAGTCTAATCGATTATATTATTGTCTTGTTATGACGGCGGTCTAGTTCAATTTTTTCTGTTAAATATGATCGATAATATCTATGTAATATATATATTTTATATATATACGACAAACTTCTAATCCGCTCCGCAGAGGATGGTCGCGTGACCTCCTACATTGGTCTGACAAAATTCTAACCTGGAAACAGCTGTTAATCACTGACCTATCCCGATATTAACCACTTTTTCGGCTTGTAACTCTAAAATTTGAGTCTGCGACTCAATTTTCGATTTGGTGAATCTATTTTGGTCGATCCCCTAATTCCGAATGCCGGCACTGAAATTGAAATTGAAGCTTGAAGCTCCAATTCGTTTTCGATTCAAATCGAAAGCCACTCCTAGCATTCGCGCAATACTCAAATTTCAATTTTATAGCTCCGCTTCAGAGGTTTTACTCAAAATTCACAAATTTTCAGTTTCTTCAGCGTGTTTTCCAATTTAAATTGAAGCCCCAACCCAAATTCATCATTAATAGCTCAAAAATCCTCAACTTCAACTCTAATTCAGCGACTGAAATTTGAGTTTTGCAGCTCTGTTTTTTTGCAGACTTACAATTATAAAACTTCAATCGCAGCTTTCAGTTTTAAATTTAAGCTAGTGTTAGGCTTGCGTCTCACCTTTAAGCTCCAAATTCGAGCTTTGCATTGAAGTTTGCGACTGGAATTTGAATTTGAAGGCTTAAATATCGGCCATGGTTTTGGAGATTGTAGCTCAAAATTTCCCAGCATCGGCATCGATTGAAGTTTAAATGTTCCCGCTCAGATGTAAATTGCATCTGTTGACTTCCATAACTAAGTTTCAAATCCCCCCTCTACCACCCGACACCAGACGAAGCCCCGCCTCTCGGAGCGGTTGTCGCGTATAAACGAAAATTATAACGTAAAAATGATTTCCGCGTAAAACTAAGACTGAGCGCAAACGTATGTAAAGTAATAAATCAAAATGGTGCAAAAGCGTTTTTGCGAAGATCTGAGACAGGGACGGCGCGCGGGGATTTAGCGAAATTATTTTTGTTTTTTTTTCTCGCATTCTTCTGTTTACTCTTTTCTGCGTTATACAGGGCGCGCGGAAATTCGGAGCTTCGGAGAGGTTTTTTTTAATGTGCTCCAGTGGCGTCCGTATAATTGTTTAACGAAATAACCGTAAAGTTAAAACTCTGCTCCCGAGTTTCGCGCGCCGCCCTGTATATCGTTTTCATTTTCGCCGATTTTCGTCGCTAATTAGAAAAGAAAACAATCGAAACTATCGACGATGCGCGAGCGGGTCGCGGTGAAACCGGATCACCGATTTTGGCCGTCGGCAAAAACTGAGAAAAAAATCGAATTATCTCGAGAACTGCGCACTCCACTCGCGGAATTTTTCGAATAGCACTTCTTAATTAAAGATATAAATATATATGTTATCGGTTTTATCAAAAATTTTTCGTTTAAAATCAATTACGAGTACCGTTAAATATTCCCGATTACATTTTTTTAAAAAAAACTTTAGCTTCAGATAAAACCGATCGTCCGAAAACGCAACCGAAAACTAAAAACCTAAAAATCAACTAACGCCCACGCCCGGAGGGCTGTATTTATACGGTTGTGGAATATCCCGGCGCATCCGCCCGATATATCGATTTCGCGAAAGTTCTCGAGATTATCGAAGAAAATTAACCGGAAAAAAATGGCCGACCTAAACGATTCAGAACATTCAAGGCCGTTTCTCCCGGTCGGCTCGCCGATACGTTTGTATTTTAAAAAACCTATGAAGCATATTATAAAACGGTAGACGACAACATTAAAGTAACGTTAGAGAAGCATAAGCATTATTGTGATGATTATAATAATTATTTAGGTGCTTGGGAAACATATGTGCATTTAAACTTCAACCAAAAATGTTAATTTCTCCCCCGTCGGAATGGACAGCCACCCCGGAAATTGTTTTGGATGTCACGCGACGCGCCAAGGTCGTTCCAAGGTCGGCCACTTTATCAATCGACCTTGAACGGACCAAACGCGATGCGCTTGACCTTCGGGCGCCCTTGGGTGTGTCGGCTTCGAACTTGAGGGGCGCGGACCAAGGTCGTCCGAAGGTCGACGCACGTTACCGGTCGACTTGGAACCGACGCGGACGACCTTGAGAACGTCAGATCCGACCTTGAAAATTCGGACTGCCCTAAATTAGGTCCGCGTTTAACGGAAGGTGCATTTATGACCGGACGCGGTGCAATTTTCGCGTATAAGAAGAAAATGTAATTATTTTTTCTGTCCCCCCTCCCCTCGCTTAAACCGCTAAGCGACCGAGAATAGGAAATGGAAAACATTCGTTATAGTTTTAAGTTTTTGTACATATTTACGCGTTAAGGAGGAAACACAATTACCGCATTATTTATTTTTGTCCATGTATAAAATAGAAACGGAAAAGACGTGGCGAAACGACTCCTTAGCCGGGCCGCGGGGAGCTGTAACTTTTTTTTAATAACTATATTTATATATATTGAAAGGTGTATAAATTATTTATTAAATTCATATTATTACGATATTGTTTTATATATTAGCTTTTTTTACGCCTAGGGAGTTGTTTTGTACAATTTGACTCGAACTGACTTTTTAGTATTTATTGTTTCACCTATATTATATACATATATTTTTTTTTCGTTTAGTCCCAGTTTTTTGCATATATGTTCGACGAGAGCCAAGCCGAAAAAAAAGTCTTCATAACAGCAAAAAAAAAATTGTGATTAAAGTAAATTTTACTATTATGAAAATAACAAAATTAATTAAAATGTTTTTGTATTAGTGAATTATTAAAACATCTGAAATTGTATCACCCCGCGAGTTTCATTTTCACCGCCCCGACGACATCGAATTTCGGCGGATGCGCCGGTCGAGCGTGCGAGAAGCCGTCAGCGCTTTCGCCTGGCGCCGCTAGGTGGCCTTACCGGACGAGTTTCCTTTGGTGCGTCGAAAGTGCCTGGTCATTTCTGCAAAGCGATCGTAACGCTTTTTAATTTCCGCAAAATGCAAATGCGAGCACGATATCGCTCGATTGCAGTTTTTTTTTTAATCTCTGTGATGATCACCGTCGCCAATACTGCTAATTAAGAGACCACAACCCAGGCTTACACGTGTAGGAAGTTAGCACACCCAATCGCAATTATTTTTTTTATGGAAAATTTGTCATAAAGGAAAAAAAGGTTGCGCCCGTCACGCGAAAGTTAGTATGCTACCCGTAAAATTTGTAAACTTTTTGAATATTTTGTTTATGCATTAGGTGTAATTTTTTTTTGTCACGTCATATGCTGGTGTGAAATGTGGGAATACCTAAAAAAAAAAACTTAAAGGAATGATCAACGTATGGAGATGGCGCGTTTAAGCAAACAGTATGGCGGATACGTCGTATTTTAACAGACTGATAATAGGCAAAAATTACGACTAATCTCTGAACCGCCTCTTGATTTAAATTTTAGTGGAACGTCGTATATTCAACTAAAAACGAAAAAAAAAATAGGTTTTAGTACTAATAGGCATTTTTCGCCTATTTTATGTCACTAGACAGTTTAGAAAATGAGAAAAACTTATTTGAAAAATTTCTAAAATAATTTTTTTGCGAAAAATTTCAAATTTTATTTTATTCTTTTTTTTAAGAAAGTACCGAGAGGCAAATCACCATCGAAAATATAATATCACACAACCATATGATTTGATTTTCTAAATTTCACGGATTTTGAAAAATAATTTTTAATTCATGTTGAAAATTTTTATATTCTGTCTTTATTAAAAAAATATTAAGTAAAAATTATATGCAAAAAACGCATTTAAAATCATTTTCAAAAATGTCGGAAAGAGTATTGTCAGCGTCAGTGCTAAAATAATAAATATAATTTTTTCAATCATTTAGTTTCTTTCTTTTCTTTTTCTTCGCCTTTGACTAAATAATTTTCATCTAATTCTTAGTCGTCGATTGGCGGAATATGAAAACCAAATAAAAAAAAACATGTATAATCATGCTGCGAATTTGAAAAGCTGGAAACTGCTTTGAGTTGTTTCCTAAATTATTAGTATAGACACTATAATGACAGGTAAAAGGCATTTTTTATAATATATACATATTTGTGGTGAAATTAAGTTTTTTCTGTACGTTTAATAACTGACTCAGTAACTTTAACTCGGCATCATCACATTATAATTTTTTTAACCCAATTTGCAACAAAAAGCTTCCACGTAATCCAACAATCAATTTTTCAAAAAAGAAAAAGTTTTGATCTCCGGATCTTTCAGTTTTAGATTTCTTCGAATTAATTAGTCTTATAAAAGTTGAAAATTATTACAAATGGTAGTTCATAACGTATAAAATACATCCAAATAATTGAATTTTAAAGTACCTAGTTTCTTGAATGTTAATAATTGTTTACTTGGATATCGCTTTTAATAGATTAGTAGATAATTTTAAGCTTAATTTTCAAAAGAACTTATATATTTTTTTGAAAAGCTTAGATGACTTTCAATTAATGTAAAAAATAAAATCCAAGCGGTTCCATTAAAAAATATATATGTTTGCTTCATAACTAATAAACGGATAAGAAGGTAAAAAAAAACAAACATTAGATTCTAAGGAAAAAATCTTATAGGATCGTTTTTTAAATTCTTCAATAATCCAAAATGATGAGGAAGTATATTACGAGGGCTAACTTTTGTATTTCGGGATTTGTAATAAAAAAACTATAAGCTACCAACAAATATGACTTCGTTTCTCAAAATATTCACCCTGATGATGAATATACTTTTGCATTCGATAAAACCAATCATCAAGCACTTTTCCCACATCGAGTCGGGCACCTCCTTTTTAAACGCATCGATCGCTTCTTCTGGGGTCAAAAATCGTTGCCCATGTAATTTATTCTTAATGTATGGGAATAAAAAGAAGTCATTAGGTGCTAAATCAGGACTATATGGTGGATGACTCATCAAATCAACGTTTTTAATGCTCAAAAAGTTCTTCGTTTGCAAGACTTTCGGCAAACCAATGGTTGTTTACAGAATTGACTGTTGTACTTTTCAGCAAAGAAACAGTTGCAAGGTGGCCAGTTTTCCTGAAAAAACTGGCTACAACAAACATATATTAGCGAATATAATAAACTCTCATTTAATAGATAACAACAAACACAAATAAAATGTCACTAGTAAAAACTATCAAAAACAAAGCTTCTGAAAATAACATAATATTTACACGTGCAGATAAAGGGAAGACAGTCATAATTATCGATCTCCCAGTATATATTTCAAAAACCAGAAGAAGTCGCAAACAGGTTAGTTTTGGTTAGATTTGGTTAGTTTAACCAATTGGTGATACAAGTTATTAGATTCTTTAATCCTATCTTTAGACCAAAATTATTTTGAATTTAATGGACAGATCTTTAAGGAAGGTTTGATTATGGGAAACCCATTTAGTCCTTTGTTAGCCGAGATTTTTATGGATAATTTGGAAAATATCATACTAGAACATCCTTTAAGTAAAAATTTTCTATGGTCTATGTCTTTGCTTGCTTTGTTGGAGCGGACAGACAATTGAATTCTTTTCATATATAGTAGCAGGTAATTTGTAAATATTACATTTGATAAAGACACGGTGTTGTCCAAACAATTGTCACGTGAATATATATAATTTCGTGAAAATCTGAACTTTTAGTTCTTATTTATTTTGACTTCCAGTTCGAGTAAAATGTTTCATAAAATTCTCAAGAAATCTTTTAAAGGGCTACCTTCTAATGCATTCTTCACGAAAAATTCATGATCTAACTAATAAACTAATACAAAATTGACAGGTTTCGAATAATTTTACATTTGTATGGCAATTTATAGTTCAATAATATTTTATTTTATTTTTATGTTTTATTTTTCTTGGCTTACTGCGATATGTTCTCATAATTTGACAAATATGGAATGCATAATAAAATCGAAAGAGCATTCGTAGGAGTAATTAATGAAAGTAAATATACAGGGCGTTCCATTAGATTTTCCGAGTCACCCTGTATAAACGATTCGACCAAACTTCAAGACAAACATAGGATCGATGACTGTACTGTACTTTGTAAAATTGTTGGCATAATAAAATTACAGCTGTCGGAAACAACGTCAAAAATATAGGGTATTAAACGCAGGATATTTTTGACGAAAAAATGACCATAAATCGGAAAACACTCTATAAAGAACCTACATTGGGCGAGGGAGTATCTATTAATGCAATACTATACAGGGTGGTCCATTACAAAATATATAAGTTGGGTTTCTCACATATTTACGAATCACGTTTGAAAAGATATTTAAATTGTTTCTTTTTGGACACACTGTAGAGTAAGACATAGTGAGGAAATTCCGGAAACAGCAATCGACATGCTTTGAAACTGTTTTCCAGGCACTCGCGTTTTCACCCTCATCAAAAAAAAAAAAAGTCAAACGGAAGCGAATCCGCCGGGCGGGACGGCCGGGCCCGTCGGAGCCGCAATAGAATGAAGACCGGGCAACGAAAATGATAATTTGTTTTCCGCGAAGGTCGCGCCAAGGTCATTGGGCGGTGGGCGCGCGGTGTGGGGGCCCGGCGTCGTGCCTTGCGGCACCCAATGTAGAAATCGACGGGTTTTACGAGCCGGAGATGACACGCGCGTGCGGCAATAAATTTCGCATTTTACGAGACGATCACCAGGTGCTCCACAACATCGCATTTAATTGAGTTCGTGCGAAAGACGGACCTCGAATCGTCTCAACATTTTAACTCAAACAAACCTAACAGCAACAAATAGATGTAGAAAATTGGGGGAATTTCAGAAATGCCTTAATATACAGGGTGTTGGATATAAAATAAGAAAATAAACGCCTCCCTGTACACCCTGTAGCACAGATATGCAACAAAGGCTTTCGCCGATGGATTATCTTAATATACAGGGTTTCCTTTAATAATAACTTACCTTTATTGTTGCACATTGTTTTATACAAATATACAGTAGAGAAGAGGCGAAGTCTAGCAAAAGCTGCTCCACTTCACCTCTTAAATGTTTAAATTGAAAACTAAACAGGAAGCTATAAATACAATGATAAATTAAATATAGTATAATAGATAAATGTAATAGTAATATGTAATAATAGAAAGTTAAACGATATGGTAGCAGTGAGACTCTGTAGGGGTGCCTTAAAAGCACCGAATGAACGTTACTATATAGTTTAGCTATAGAGAAATAAGTTATGCAAATCCAAATTGGTATAAATAGAAGCAATATCAAATAATTTAGGATCGAAGGAGTAAGATGGCTGAGTGCAAATTTAAATATTCGATGGATGTATAAATATCAGAAATATAAATTAAGAATAATATAGGTTCAAGATTTTCTATATGATTTCTATTTTAGATATTACTAGGCAAATTCTGATACGCAAATATTCTGAATACGTAATAATTTGGTATTTTAACAGCAGAAGCGAATCGTGGTGTATAATGTGTTGCCGATCTACGAGTACGAACTCCCCTTCGTAGTTAAAGTTGACGCGAAAACGCTACGGACGCGTCGGCAGTAAGAAACTGGAGAAAAATCCCGGGGGTTCGGGTCGGGAACGCGAGGCGGCTCCCCCCCCCACCGATTGCGAAAAATCGCCTCTCCACTCCGACGAGGATTTCCCGAACCACCCACGCGTAGTCGGCGCGTTTCGGATCCGCGCGACAGTTTCGCTCCGGAGCTTGGCACCTCCAGGTGACCCGCGGCGACGACGTCCACCCCCGCGGACAGTGCGTTGGCGACGACGTCCACCAGGTACGTT